CTTCTGTCTACAGCAGTGTGTGTTTCTCGGTGTGTGTGTCCGCTTGCCTTTGCCTCTCGACACCCATACTGATAATCACATGTATTTAGTTATTAATAGATTTTGTGGAATCATGTTTCCTGATAGTTCTGGTCACTTTAACACTGATGTCCTGACTGTGCGTCTCGTTATGTCTCATGTTGTGTAGCAGGTTTAAACAGAATAAATCAAACACAAAGTAAACATCAGTCCTGTACGTGTCCTAATAACTTCAGTGATGGTGTTTATTGTTAAAGTGTAAAGTGAGCACTGGTCAGAGGAGGAAGTTCCGACAGAGACTCTGACACAGGACGACAGGACCTTTTATGTGCGTCTGTCCTTAAGCAGCGGTCTGTTATAATTATTCAAACTACCAATGTAGCAGAAAACATAATGTTCAGTCACTGCATTGATGCAGAGTCATTATGATGCAGACATTAACACATGCTTGTGCTGTTCCGCCGCTCTGTGCTGTGTGCGTCAACCTAAATTGATGTGGGTGTGACTATTGCAGCCACATGATTGGTTTGGCACGATGCTATTCTCATTTTTATTGGCTGTTTGCGTTGTCTGTCAAAACATGGACGAGTTCTATTTCTATTTTTTGTGAAGCACTTTGTTCAGATAAGTGTTATACAAATGCAGTGTACAAATAAATACAATATCGCATATGTAAATACAATACACACATAACAAATACAATATCGACATGTCTTCAATTTATAAAACAGTTATATCGCCATAATTAACCATATCGTTTTATCGCCCAGCCCTAGAAACAAGAAAATTTACAGAAATGTATCCAGCAGACACTTTGACAAGTCACAGCAGAAAAAGCATGACTGGAATTAAGAACATTCTACACAGGCTCTGTTCTGTTGATTGATTGATCTATCAATTGCAACATATCCTCCGTGTCATTCAGGCAAGAGGTGGTGCAGGAGCGGGAAGCAATGTATTCATTTCTTGTGGAGATCATGTGAGCATTTTAGTGACTGTGGAGAGAAAAAACTCCCTCATTAACTGGAAGAAGCCTCTAACAGAACCAGGCTCAGTTTGGGCGGCCATCTGCATCGACCGGCTGGGGTGAGCAAAGAAAAATGGGGAAGAGAGGAGAGATGGGTGGAAAGAGGTGTGAGAAGAGATAGAGAGGGGGAGGAGAGGGGGAGGAGAGGGGTAGAGAGAGGAGAGAGAGACCAGGAACAGTTTTGTCACCATCAGGTCTCAGCTCTTACAGACTACTTGTTATAATGAAAACAATAAGATTGCTAATTATGGATGTAAAGATGTTATTAATGATAGTAGCAACAATTCATGTAATACTAATAAAAAATAACAATAGTTATAATAATAATGTTGAGAAAGAGAGAGAGACTATGGGAGGGAAAAAAAAAACTTACATAAAATAAATAAATGTGTGGGGGGGCAGAGAGACAGAAAGAAGGGGAGATGTGCTCAGTGGATGATGGGAGTTCCCCCAGCAGTCTAGACCTATAGCAGCATAACTAAGTGATGGTTCAGGACTCACCTGATCCAGAACTAACTATAGGCTTTATCAAAAAGGAAAGTTTTAAGTTTAACTTTAAATGCAGAGATGGTGTCTGCCTCCTGAACCCAGAGTGGGAGCTGGTTCCACAGGAGAGGAGCCTGGTAGCTAGCTCTGGATCAAGAGTGGGCTTTTTAAGCAGAGGTTTAATTACAGCTATCCTTAAAAGATTGTGGTAACAAAGACATATTAATCTGTTTTAATATAGAACTGTCAATTAGAGGAAAAATCCCTGAAAAAGTCTAGTTGTCTCCTCAGATACACGACCATTACTGAAAATAATTCCTCAATTCGTTTACCTTCCATCAAGCTACAAACTGTTTACTTTAACCAATGCTGTAAATACTCATTTTTCTCTGATGTTCTCCATTGCACTTCTGTCCGTCCTGGGAGAGGGATCCCTCACATGTGGCTCTCTCTGAGGTTTCTACGTTCTTTTTCCCCTGTTTGGGGTAGTTTTTCCTTACTCTTGCTGAGGGTTAAGGACAGAGGATTTCACACCTTGTTAAAGCTCTATGAGACAAATTGTGATTTTTGAATATGGGCTATTCAAATAAAATTTGATTGATTGATTGAGTTGGGACTTGTCTAACAGACAAGTTGCTGGTTTAGAGGAAGAGACTGAAGTCCGTTCAGAAAGATCTATTGAGAAAAGTGGTCCAAATATAAATCTGGGGTGGTTCTTCAGGTTCTACAGGTGGTTCTATGGTTTCGGTACTGGACAACGTATCTGTGCTATTCATGGGGAGGAAGAAGAAGTTCATGAAATCATTGCTTCTTAGGGTTAGAGGGATAGATGGGTCAGTAGAGGTGTGACTTTCTGTCAGCCTGGCTACAGTGCTGAAGATGAACCTGGGGTTGTTCTTATTTTCTTCTATAATGATTAATAAGAAGTTCTGGCATTTCTGAGTGTTTTCTTGTAATTCATCAGGCCTGTTTTCCAGGCTAGGCAAAAATCATCTTGGCTGGTGGAATGCCACTTCCTCTCCAGCTTCTGTGATGTCTGTTTTATAACACGTTTGAGAATTATACCATGGAGCTAATCTCCTCTGATTTACCTTCTTCTTTTTCAGCAGGTCGACAGTGTCAGCAGTTGTTTTTAATGAGGCTGCTGTACTATTAACAAAGTTATCAACTAATGCGGGGGTGAAGTTTGATAACTTTTCTGTATTGTACTGACATAGACAGAAGAAGGTTTTTGGGAACATTTTAAATACCATATGTCAGAACAAGATCAAGACTGTGATTGAAACAGAGCTGGTTTATTCACATGTTGATTAAAACCAATTTAGTCTATTAATAAATGAAATGTTGAACTAAGTCTGTCAATGGCAACAATTACATGAATGTTTAATCACCTCCTATAACGACTTTATCTGTCCTAAGAACTACCTCAGATAGAAATTCTGTTAATTCAGATAAAAAGCCTGAGTAAGGGGAAAGTGCACCGATATATGATAACTAGATAAACTGGTTTATGCAATTTCAGGCTTGGATGAACGAGGCTGATGATGAGATTTTCAAATGAGTTGTAAATACCTTACGCGACACCGTCTGTGCTTCAAAAAAATTCGAGTATTAAATAGGGTGGAGGGCGTCACTTCATTTAAACCCCCATGTTCATCTTTTAGCAGCCTGGTTTCAGTTAGACACAGTAAATCATACTGATGGTCAGTAATCAGATCATTAAATGGTAGGGATTTGGGATTGAGTGACCTGATTTAAAATAAACCACATTTTATCCTTCCATCTTTTGGTACTGATATAGTTGCTGTATTAACTTCTATTATGTTTGAAATGCATAACTCCTTTTCTGTTGACTTTTGATTTAATTAATTTAGGTGGTCATGGGGCAGGCAGCAGCCGAAAGGATGATATGTGGCTTTACATATCATCACTGGTCATATTAGGAAGAGGTCCAACAAAGTCCGACATTGTCTTTGCATAASTACACACCGAATCAATATTGATTTTTGTGACCTCCGACTGACATAGTCTGGTGTCGTTACTGCCGACGTGAATAATAATCTAACTATATTTATGCTTACCCTTAGCCAGCAGTTTTAAATATGACTAAAAGACATCAGTGTCAGCTCTTATCAACACAAACTAATTTGAAATCTCGGTGGGTGTCTTCTACATGTATCGGTCCTATTTTTCACCTGGAGATATTTTTTTTCTTTTTGTCTTTTTCATTTTAGCGTTTGTCGCACGCTAGAAACATCCACAACCCCACCTCCCCAACATCTCTGTCTCAGACAACCAAAAGTGCAATAGATGCTAGGTGTAGCTAAGCACACCAACAAAATTATAATATTTACAATGATTAGAATAAACTGTTTTTAACATAATGGAAAGGTGTGTCAATGTTTAAGTAATAAGTATTAATACATAAGAAACTTGATGGTCAGCTGCCACCATGGTCACGATCCACATCAGGATCCACAATCCACCATTATGATCCACGATCGGCTGCCAACACTTCCATCTACTAAATAACTATTTCAATAATTTGATATTTATCCAAAATAATAAATTTTTTGGAAGAGGCTCTGTCTTTCTACATTTTGTTCTAAAACTAATCCTGGATATATTGTATCAAGCAACATTTTCTGCATGGAAAGATACATAAAGACATGAAACTGCTCTGTATTATTTCTAGTGTTTTATCTTCACTGTTTTCTATTTATTTGTCTTAAGTCTGAATGTGAAATTTCAACTCTCTACAGCATTCTCAAAAATGGATATAAGTGAATATAAAATGAGTGTACATGGCATGAAATATATTGCATTTAGTAGGTGTAGAAATCAGAGATTTGCAAACTCTGTCAGCGATTATACTATGATTAGTGTCTAAAATGTCTATTCCTTGCTCACTATAGAGTAGACCATTGTACTGAATGAGTAACTTAAGGCACATACATCAATGGAAATGTTCTGCAGTTGTAGTTTCCGTCACACTGCCACACACTTAATAATCAAAGTCACATACTAAACTGCTGACATCCACTGTGTGGACATCTTCAGTACACTGCTATTTTACATTTGTTCTGGGATTATGATGATGTAGGATGTTCTCTTTATACATCTTTAGCATTGAACACAGTGTATACACACAGTCCAGATGGACAATGTGAAGTTAACTAATGATTGGCACAGGGAAAAAGCAGAGGACAAGCTTGAGGGGGACAGTCTCTGAACTTGTTACACTCTAGAATAAAAAAGAAGGCATCGGTACAGTGAGAGGTAGTTATATCTATTTGCCACAAGGTGTCACAATTGACTGCGGTTATACATCAACAACCTGGCATAGCCCAGCACTGTTTCCCTTTCAACATTCACAGGCCTTCGTTGAATGAGCTTCTTTTCTTTTGATTGTTGTGTGATAAATCTTTTAAACTATTCACTAATGTTCTCCTCGCCTCTCTCTCCTCAGCTCCACGGAACATTCCCACACCAGCAGGTACAACCACAACAGAGTCCCGCACATCGAGTACATCCTTCCCCTCCACATCTACAACCAGCACCACCTTGATCTCCCCCACAGCTAGAGGTGTCCCAGCCTCCAGGTTCGAAAGCAACACGAGCACTGCACTGAGCACCGCTGCCACCACCCAGGCTCTGCTGACCAGCCTGAGCAGCCCCACTGACAACACCACAGCAGCCCTGACTGAGGTCTCCTGGACACAGTTCAACATCATCATCCTAGCTGTCATCATCCTGGTAGTGGTGCTGCTGCTGGGCTTTGTTGGAGGCGTGTACACATACAGAGAGTACCAGAACCGCAAGCTCAATGCCCCTTTCTGGACCATAGAACTGAAAGAGGACAACATCAGCTTCAGCAGCTACCACGACAGCATCCCCAACGCTGATGTGTCGGGACTGCTGGAGGATGAAGCCAACGAGGTTGCACCCAACGGCCAGCTGGCACTCACCACACAGGGCAATTGCTACAAGGCTTAGCACTCCACCCATCCCCAAGCTGGACACCTAGATTTACAGACCACTAAAGCTGCTGGAAAGCACCAAATCCAAAGCTCCTTCATTTATGACTGCTTGTTACGTGCTCGGCTACGAGATTTCACAACACTTGTCGAACTGACTGTGCAAAAGCAGATGTGATCAAAGATATGAAACATTTTCCTTTTTGATATGGTTTAGTGTGGAATGGGGCGATCAGTGAAGAGGATCCAAAGAAAAAAAAAAGGTTTGTTTGAGTTTGGCCTGCAGGCAGCACTAATGTGCAGATTAGTTAGGTAATTGGCATCTTATGAGACAGGTGCAAAGCACCTGTTTGCTGAAACGATGATCCTGACACCAGTGAGAAAACTTACAGGAGGCTAGCATTTCACATATTTTTGAAATGGACTTTTGACTGATTAAGTTATAACTGGATCACTTGGAACAGTGGTCTTCAATTGAGACAATGATTGTTATTTAATGAATTTTTATTCTGTTCTTATTTATTGTTTGACGTTTCATTCTTGGGAAAAATGCTGCACTTGTATGATGTGTTTATTCATGGTGTTTTATCTTATGTGCTGTTGAATGGTGATTTGAACTGGCCAGTATGTTCACATGTATAGTTTATGTGTTTTGGAGCGAATCTTAGGGGAAGATGAAGGCTGCTGGCACAAGCAATTTAAAAACTTCACCTTATGTTCATAGCTTCCTTTATGTTAGTGTGCCAGCTCACCTGAAGTATCTAAGAGGAGTGTTTCTTTTGAAGATACTACACCCACCGGATATATACTCTCATATTTAGCACTACTGCAGGGCTTGCGTAAACTTACTCTTAATCATATGTGTGTGTGTGCGCACACGTGTGTGAGAGAGAGTAGAGGTTGGGCTCTGTGACTCATTCTCTGATCACTAAAACATAAACAGTATTCTAGTGTTTATACGGAGGTTGAGAGGTGTAACCAGCCTGCACATTGTAAAAAATCCTCAGCCAACTCTGTGTCATTATTATCACGTACATTTTACATCAGTTGGAACAGTTCTTGTTCTTGTAAAATCACTGCATCTTAAAGCATCTCACTTGATCCTGGACGTGGATCTTGTGTTCTCTGTGTTGTTTTAGTTACCATTGGTCGGGTGCGCTTCTTTTTAACATGGTGAATGAGTAAATCTAATTATGGAACTAACTCCTCAGGTACTGGCTCTTTCCCTAATGTGATCACTGTAAATATGATAACTGTACAGATGAATGTGAATAGTAGCACTATTAATGTACAGGTAGTATACTGTGTGTACACTGTCACTCAACAAGCTCCCAACCTTTCACTCTCAAGGGTGCGATGCTCCTGTCAGCCCGCAGCTTTTTGTATTTTCATTTCTTATTGTCAGTGGACTTTGCCATACACGCAACCACAGGACTTAAAAGCACCACCCTGAACATGGAACAAAGAATGAAATGATGTAAATATTACCCCAGCGTCAGAGCGTCATCTCTCAAATAAAAATGGGTTTAACTGTCGTCTTTGCGTTTCTTACATATCTTCAGGTCACTGCCACATTTTAAACATTCCCTCCACAGATGCTTGAAGACATATCGATACATTCTGTTCTGAGTAACAATTATTTAAGATGTGGATTTAACTATTTGTCTCTCTCCTTGCTGGACACAGGATCTTCCCCGCTGTAAAAAATCAAAAATCACCCTGATGGGTGATCCCGCAGCCATCTAGGCCTATAGCAGCATAACTATGGATGAATATGGCTCAGGGTTGAGCTAAAAGCTTTATCAAAAAGGAAGGTTTTAAATCTAGCCTTAAATGTAAGGCCGTGTCTGCCTCCCTCACTGAGAGTGGGAGCTGGTTCCACAGGAGAGGAGCTTAATGACTAAAAGTTCTACCACCCATTCTATTCTTACTCTAAGCACTACAAGGAGTCCAGAGTTTAGGGAGCGATGTGGTCTGTGGGGGCAGTAAGGGGTTATGAGGTCTTTAATGTAGGATGGGGCCTGATTGTTGAGAGCCTTGTAGGTCAGTAGGAGGATTTTGAAATCTATCCTCTGTTTAACAGGGAGCCAGTGAAGTGAAGCTAAGACAGGAGTAATGTGATCCCGTCTTCTGGTTCCTGTCAGTACTCGTGCAGCAGCGTTCTGCACTCGCTGAAGGGTTCTTAATGATCTGCTGGGACATCGTGATAATAGGGAGTTGCAGTAGTCTAGCCTAGACGTAATAAAGGCATGAATCAGTTTTTCAAAATCCTGTTTTGACAGGACGTGTCTGCTTCTCTTTACATCACGTAGATGACAGAAAGCTATTCAGGAAGTTTGACTCATTTTTTGGTTCTAGGTTAACCAACTGGTTTGACAGAGTTTCTCTGAGATGCCTAGTACCCAGGATTATGACCTCAGTTTTGTCTGTGTTTAGCAATCAGATGTCCCATTTATGCATCTTAAGTGAAAGTGTTTGGAGGACCAGAAATGACTAGTATAAATAAGTAGTAGTAGTAGAAGTATAAATAAATGTGGAAATAAATAAATAAATGGGCCAATGTTGGCTCTATACCATCATTGTGAGGACATTTTAACTGGTTCTCACAAATTAAATTGGCTTTTTGGGTCTTACAACTTAGTTTAAGGGCTAGGGTTAGAATTAGGTTTAGGGTTAAACATTTAGTTGTGATGGTTAAGGCTAGGGTAAGGAGTCAATGGTTGACCTCAGGAGAGACGTGTGTGCGTGCGTTGTAAAAAGCTACAAACATAAAGAACCCTGAGGGTGGTTGCATGATTCATGCTATATTCATCTCCGAATAATAGTCATCAGCTTCTGGTCTCTCTCTCTCCATCACAGGCTTTGGTTGCTTTGTCCTTTCAGTGGGAGGGTCTGTAAATTAGACTTCACAAGTTGAAAAACGTTGAAAAAAAAACTGTGCAACAACATGCTACGGATGTGGCATGGATTGCATGTTTGAGTCACGAGACTCCCACACCGTGGGCGACAGGCGCTGATAAATTAAGACGACTGGTGCGCGAATAGGAGACAGGCGGCATGGAGGAACACGTGTGTTGCTGTGGTGCAGGAGGGGAAGCCAAACCTGGAGTTCGTTATCAACGTACTTTCACTCAACTCGTCCGCCTCCAGCTCATGGCTCTGCTTACAGTCGTGTCGCTGCTCCTGCTCGCCTCAGCAGCCGTGTTTCTGCTGATCATGTCTGGCGGAAGAGGATGCGACCGCTCTCCGGACGGACAGGTAACATCACACTGCACCATTCACTGCGCTGCAGCGGCTCACAGAGGCGTCCGCTCATATGGTTATCCACACAGAGGGGCCATCAGAGAACAGAGGGGCCACCAGAGAACAGAGGGGCCGTCAGAGAACACTTATTGTTATCATTCATAGATAGTTAATGTAATTAGAATTACATTTGTATCTATTAACCGCTTCTAAATGAAATGAACTCGTGGTTTGTTTGTCTGATTTTTGCCCCCCCCCCCCTCTCTCTCTGTCGATTGGATGGTTCAGTCTTGTAGGTGCAGCAATCAGAACTGTCACAGATTTTCGTTTATGACTACAGAGTACAAAGAAAATGTCATGAATCACAACAGCTTAATGACATTTTTGAAGAAGTTTAAAACAGCCTGGATTCAGAGAGGGACAGATCAAAGCCATCTTTTAATTCTGTTGGTTTCGTTGCTAAGTAATGTGATTTGATCACGTCTTTGCCGTTTATCACAAGAAAATAAACATGAATTGAATTGAAAATGATATAATATTTTGTTATTTCTCTCAAATTTTCAACAATTATTCCTGTATGTATTTCTCTTTGTTTGTCCACATGTGCTTCTTACAGATTTATTCTTTTTTAATAGTACTAAACTAAAGCATTGTGGTTTTTCCCACAATGACAAGACATTTGCAGTGTATTTTGTGTATTTTATTTTATGCCCCAGACACAGCTTGGATTAGCCAGTGTGTAATATTGTAGTATTTACTTTCTATGATATATATTGTTATAGTCTGTAATATTATTATATAACTATTGTTCTTCTATTGTAATGGGCTCGCACAGGACATTGGAGAAGCAATTTAATTGATTTTCTTTACAGGTCGAAATTATAAAAGTATAAACTTGGGTCACTGGAGTCAGTTTTATAGTTATTCAAGTGAAACAATACATACGTATTAACATAGCACATAGTATTTTTTGTTGCATTTATCATAGTGGGTATTTAGGTCTGTGTTATTTAAAGTTTTGTACCATGACTGTTAGTTATAACAAATGAAACTGTTTGCCTACAGCTCATGAAGCAGCCTGACAATCATTTGTCAGGTAAGTATCTTGTTCATTTGTCTAGTGAGATTGACTTGCGACCAAGGAAGATGTGTGACACAATACTGTTTGAATCCTTCCCATAGGTATCACCTCCAAACAGCAACAAATTATTAACTTCAAGAATCCAAGTGCCATGCTAACAGGTAAAACATTAGGTGCATTAAGGCAATGTCATTGCAGACCAGCCTTTTTCTGTATCTATCTATCTATCTATCTATCTATCTATCTATCTATATATATAGATATATATATATATCTATATATGTACAATCAGTAAATAGAAATAATGCCTTTCTTTCTGCTCTTATTCTCAGTTCCAACTGACAGTAACATTCATGAGGATTACCTTAAATGGCAGAGTAAGATTGGAAATGCCCACTGTCATGGAGGTTTCAACTACTTCAATGGGAACCTTGTGGTGCCCAGAAACGGCATCTACAGAGTCTTCCTGCAAATCACCTATCAGTGTTTGGATTCGTCCGCTCATATACTGAGACTCACCAACAATGTGTTATATTTCACAGATAGTTACAATGCCAGTTTGCCTCCTTTGCTGTCATCAGTCGAAACAATGATTTGTAGCATGGAGCAATGGGAAAAATCCATCTATACGGCTGGCTTGTTTAACCTGGAGGCTAACACCAGACTATTTGTGAAATCATCGAACCCCGAACTTATTGTTAAAAACGAAGCACTGGTGTTCTTCGGTGCTGAACTTCTAGCTTAGTAATCTGCTCAGACAGCTAAAACCATCCATGCCATATAAACCTCAGGAAACAAGTGAAGTCATGGTTTTCCTTAATTATTACAGTTAATTAAAAGTTAGGTACTCAAGGTTTTCTCTGTTTCATATATCTTTGTCATCTGAATATGATTCTGATTTGCAAAGGAATGTGATATGTTGGTCAAACAAAGCAAGCGATTTGAGGAGGTATCATTGAGAACTGTTGGGTTTCTCTATATTAAATAATATTTTCAGTTTTTGACCTTCTATGTAAAGTGCCTTGAGATATGATTTGGTGCTATACAAATAAAATTGAATTGAATTGAACATTTGGATCTGGAAATAGTGGTGCACGTTAGTATGTATTTTCTGACATTTCAAAGCCTCAAAAACAGATTGATGTTAGTTTTGTGCTGTTGGGTAGTTCAAAACCAGACACACTAAGAAACACCAGTTGTGTCTGAGATGGATTCTGTAGAGCCAATTACGAATTTCAGGTCTTTTGTTGCTGTGAGAGTAGAAATCTTTGAAAGGATATCACAGGCATTCATATCACATGGTCTATCCCTCTCAGCTCAGGTTAGGGGGTGGAAATGCAATCAATGTTTACTTCCTAAAAACACTGATAATTGGAACTGACTGAATGAACGCTTGAAATTTTGGTAAAGTAGACATGAGGTGAAGGATTAGAGAAAGAACAAATAAAAGGAAAATAAACAGAGGAAGAATCACAATCAGAGTATCTATTTCCATCTAGGTGAAAATAGTTGCAGCAGATGGCAGTTCATTTAGCCACAGTATTTACACCCCAGTTTTAATCCTGACCAGGCATGTTGCTGCAGTATGCCGTTTAAAAAGCGCCAAACATTTTTAACATCTGAAAAAATACTTTTGATTAGATTGAGATGAAGTCAGATCAGGTAAAGCGTAGAGAAGAGGTTGTGGTGAATAAATGTATCAAGCACAGGACTTAAACCCAGGAGACCCTGGTTTCAAGTGATTGGTCATTATTGCTAATAACATATATATTGTATCTCACAAGCATGTTTTATCTGAAAGTAATCAGTATTTTAAGATATTGGTTATTCAGGACATATCCTGTAGCTGTGTCTGTAAGCTGCTCTGGTTGGCAAAACAATACAAGGCGTATTATTTGTTGCATCAGAATGTGTCATTAAGCAACCCAGAGGGTTAGAAAGGTGAAGGAAGAACTGGCATGGAAACATTCTTATCAGGGTTATTACCTGCTTGGCTATTTTTAAATAATTAATAAGAGCAGAATTACCAGTGACACAGGAATGTTTGCCACAGGAAGATCACTTAGAGATAGTTAATCTAATCATGGAGTAGGCCTATAGCAATAAAATTGCTGAGCGTATGAAGGAGTAGCAGTTGTGATACTCAACAATTTCTATATCTTGACTATCAATTTTAGTGTGAGTCATGATGTCTAAAATCAACATGTATATCCTTGGGTTATGTCACATAATATTTGAGATTTCCTTTTTGATACTATTTTAAAAAAACAACATATATTATAACGACCATATAACATTTTCTCCTCCTCCTAATTTGGCTCACTGAAACTTCGTCATTATTCTACATTGAATTTCTGCCAATAGTTTCCTTTTATCTAAATCTTACACACTGGATCTTTAATCAACTTGTCAGAATTCATTAAAGGGGAGGCAAAGCTACAAGACTGTATTCAGAGTCTTAGTATTACTATGGGACAATATTATGTCATAAATGTGGTGATGTGTGTGGATGGATTCCTGTGTGGACAAAGGGATGTGTGTGGATGGATTCCTTTCACTGTGGAGTTTATTGTTAAGTAATATATATTATAATAAATAGATATTATTTTGGAAAAACGTTCTCTATTTTTACTTGTATGTTGCTGTTGTCTTATATAAACTTATTTAACAAGGTTAGAGATGTGGGTTGTTTTTATTTCATGTGTTATATATTTATGTAATCTGTGTATGGTGTACTAAAAGAAAATTAAAAAAAAATTAGATTAGAGAAACGCTTCATTGTGTTGGGAACACAGCACACACGGAACACAATACACACAGTGACCACACACGGAACAGTGGGCAGCCATGAAGGCGCCCGGGGAGCAATTGGGGGGTTTGGTGCCTTGCTCCAGGGCACCTCTGCAGTGCCCAGGAGGTGAACTGGCACATCTCCAACTACCAATCCACCTTTCATACTTTCTTGTCTGAACAAATCCTTTCCTGTAAATCCTGGATGACAGAGACATGATTTATGCCAATAATATGCCAGTCAGCCTTGTTAATCAGTCATAGTTTTTTATTGTTTTTTTCCACATGTGCTCCACCCAACCTGGCTAAGTATGAATGTTTTCACGGTCATGGTATGTTCCTTAGGATATTCAGGATCTCTGTACTCTAAGCCCCCCCCTAGAAAGATAAAGGCTGTCATTGTCCAGTATGGCCTGCACTTGACTGAGTCAGCCTTTTTTATCAGCCTGTCCAGCCACTTGGTGTTGCTGTCAGTTATTCTGCTTCCCTAGCAGACAGCCGCATAAAAAATGACACTTGCCACTACTGACTGGTAGAACATGCTGAGCATCTCAGTACAAACATCAAACGACCTCAGCCTCCTGCAAGAAGAGGCTGTTCTGCCCCTTTCGGTGGAGGGCGTCTGTATTACCAGACCAGTCCCCCTTTTTTATTAGAGGCAAAACAATATTTGTCCTAAATTGTAGCTCTTGACTCCTTACAATCCTAGTCGCAATCTGAGATTGGCCAGCCTGTCCAGTGGCCAGTCAGATTTATCTTTAGCCTCAGTGTACCCTCACGTTCAGCTTTCAACGCTATTGCGATCAAAAAGGCCAGTGTTTACCTGATGACTCCAAGGTTCAACTGAAGATTATTATTTTCCTTATAACAACCAGTCTGGCAGAGCTTAAATGGGATGGTCATGCAACTGTTCCTGGTCTCTACCCCCACCCCCACATCTCTCTCTCTTCTCTCCACTTATGTAATACCAACACATTATGTAATAACACTTTACAATGTAATACATTTTCACTTCATTATGTAATAACAGCTGCATTATGTGATAATCTGACACATTTTGTAATAAACAGCATGAACACAATATGTACTAAATGTAATGAATTATTACATATTGCAGTAGTTATTACAAAACATTTACACAAATATAATAACATGGTGCATTATGTAATAACCAACCAAAACGGATGTCTTCATTCATTGTTTTATAACATTGTAACAATTATTTTATGCATTCTAGCATGAATCATAGTGACTCAAATCAATTAAAAAAACATACTATTTGTTCAGTAGATTAGTATTACCTTCCATTGGTAATAAGTGTCACTGTATTCACTCACTCACACACACACACACACAAACATACACACACACACACACACACACACACACACACACTCAATTAAGCCATTATGCAATGATGGTTTTGAAAAGGTGGTCCAGAAAAAGATAGAAAATGGTTGCACAAAAAACCCCAATATGGAACAGTACATAATTTCAAATCCTTCTTCTTTCAACTTCCGATATAATACTGTTTGTCAACAAAATGGATGAACCTTTTTAGAACAACAGTATTTTATTTATGTTATTACTTCAAACAGACTATGGCTTACATCTTAGAAATAGCCAAATATGTTCTATCTGTAGAAAAAAGTAGTAAGCTTAATTGAATATGCCTGGTAACTACTGTGAGCTATTCCAATGAACACATATGGTTTAAACAGAGTGAGTGAAAACACTATTTTCCTGTKAGAAACTTTCTAAAACCAAGCTAGGTTAGCTAGTGCTGTGGCTGTTAGCATTAAGGTTTGATCTTTAATATTAATCTCTTAACTTTTTTAATTAGTTGAGGAGCTAGCTTTCTCTAACTCTAAACGAGAAAACATATAAATCCTGCTTTGAGGATTAATAACATTTTATTCACATATCTTACAACATGATGCCTTCCATCTAGTGACTTTTGCAAACTGCAACCAAAAGTTCATGCTGTGTATTACCAAATGTGTCAGATTATTACAAAATGTGTCAGATTATAAACACAATGAAGTGAAATGTATTTTAAATTGTATTACATAATGTGGTGTTACACACCCACCTCTCCTTTCTTCCCCATTTTTCTCTGCTCTTCCTTTGCACTTTGTAACGTTGTTTAGATATGTGCTATACAAATTAAGTTCTTATTATTATTATTTGAGGATCATGTTCTTTGACTTATCAAGCTCTTTCAACACCATCCAACCCTGGGTAGTGAGAGATATGTCCCGGTTATGGTAGTATTCTGTCACATTATGGTATTTTCTGTCACTGGTATTGCATTCTGTCACATTATGGTATTTTCTGTCACGGGTATTACATTTTGTCATGGTTATGGTATTTTGTTCTCTTTTATAAAGAGTGTATTCAAATTGCATTTTTGTTATGTTTGGAATTCATATTTTAAGTTTGTTCTATGTCCCCTCTGTGTCCCTCGCTCATGTTCCCTTCTGCTCTCCTCTGTGCTCCATCCTGTGTTGTTCTCTGTGTCCCTCTCCTGTGTTCCCCTCCTTGTCCCTCGCTATGTTCCACCCTGTGATTCTCCTGTGTTGTTCTCTGTGTCCCTCTCCTGTGTTCCCCTCCCTGTCCCTCGCTATGTTCATCCTGTGTTCTCTCATGTTCCCTTCTGCGTTCCTGTATGTTTCACCCTGTGCTCCTCCTGCGTTCATCCCTGTCATAGTTATTCTATTTTTTGTTCTCGTTTATGAAGAGTGTTTTCAGTTCGGTTTCAACAGTGTTTTTGTTACGTTTTGAATTCATGTTTTAGGTTTGTTCATTGTTCCTGTTTTATTTTGTAGTCCCTGCTCCCGGTGTGTTTTTCCCCATTTGACTTCCTGCCCTCATCATGTTCACCTGTTTGTCTTGTGCCACCTGTTCTGAGTTACCCATTAGTTCAAGTGTGTATTTAAGTCTTTGTGTTCCCCC